TCGTAGTCAAAATAAAGTCGTAATATCACGAGAATATCGGCTGCTCGGAAAGTCTGAATGAGTCTGAGGCTGGAGCTCTGGACAATTTGGAGCATTTTGTGAAGGAGAAGAATCTGTGTATCATTCGTTCATTCGACTGAACCAGGACTGAATCAGGACTAAACCAGGTCCGGAACCAAACCAGAACTAAGACCAGGATTGAGACCGGGACCAGATCGGGACTGAAAATGGTTTAATCCTGATTTAAGTCACAGAAATGGGAAACGGCGTTTTTGTGACTTAAAATGCGATGCAGGACTATGGCGCCGCATATGGACTGAACCAGGACTGAACCAGGACTGAACCAGGACTGAACCAAGACTAAACCGTTTTCAGTCCTGGTCTGGTCCTGGTTTCAGTCCTGGTCTCAGTTCTTTTCTGATCCTGGTCTCAGTCTTGGTCCCAGACTCAGTCCTTGTCCGGTCCCGGTCTAAGTCCTGGTCCCGGACCTACATTTAGTCCTGGTTAAGTCCTGGATCAGTCCTGGTTCAGTCCGGAGGCGCAAATGAAGAAAATAGTTGTTTTTTCATTTTCTTGTTTTTAGTTTTATATTGAAAAACAAATGAATGATACACGGATCTGCGGCATTTTTCACTTTGACTTTGAGTTTATTACAACTTTATTCTCGTAATTTTATAACTTTATTCTCATACTATTACAACTTTATTTTGACTTTGACTTTATTCTTGTAAAATTACGACTTTAATGTAGAAATGTTACGACTTTATTCTCGTAGCACCAGCATCTTTTTTTTTTTTTTTATCTGAGCCTTATACTCCGTCATACCTAAAATTACGACTTTATTCTGATTACAACTTTATTCTTGTAAAATTACTTTATTCTTGTAAAATTATGACTTTTTCTGGCTTTGACTTTATTCTCGTAATATTACAACTTTAATGTCGAAATGTTATGACTTTATTCTCGTAGCACCAGCATCATTTATGTTTTTACCTGAGGCTTATACGCCGTCGTAGGAAAGAATGTTTTTTTTAAGAACATTTTTAATTAGTTTTTTAGTTAGATTTTTTTTTTTTTTTTTTTTTTTAAGTTGGTAAAAAAAAAAAAAAAAAAACACTTAGAAAATAGAGCCCAAATGACCTCCCTTTTTTTTTTTCCCTCTTGCCTCTCAGGGCTTCTGTACACCTCTGCCTCTGATTATTTACATTTATTTGGACACATTTGGACCCTCCACCAGAAAAGTTACACATTGCAGCTTTAACATAATTGTTTTTTCACTGTCTTATTTTTTCTTGTTGTAAATTGGGGTAAAAGAGTAAAAAAAAAAGAAAAAGAAAAAAGCGCCGGAGTGTGTCTTTCCTGCGGCGGTGGCAGAGTCCGGGCTGTCGCTGTCCTTGGTGCTGAAACTTCCCAAATCCGATTATCTCTTCCTCTCTTCCTCCCCGCCTCCTTCTCTCCTTCTCTCCTTCTCTCCTTGTCTCCTTCTCTCCCGGGAGCTCCAGTCCGCTCCGGTCCAGCCTTCACCGCCCGCCGCCCGGACCTCTCATGGATCTGCGCCCGGCCCGCTTCCTCCTGCTCCTCCGCCCGGAATCCGAACGCTTTCGTGGGGAGAGTTTGCGCGCAGGCACGGCGGAGTGACCCGGCGGGCGATGGTGGCACCTCCCGGAGACTCAGCGGCCCGGTTTGCCCTTCTGTGCCCGCAGGTGAGCGGCGTTATGGCGGACGACTTAAGCCCCAGCACCGGGACTTTTATCGGTTCTGTTTAAAGTTATTTTCTGACTTTTTGCTCATGTTTTGATGCTTTTAGTGACATCCCGTACATCCCGTTTGCGTCCATTCCTCTAATCCTCATTTTGGATTATCTGTAAATGAGTCTAAAGATAAACTACCCGGAAACTAATTAGCCTCCGCCGCCATTTTATCTAACAATTATTTTTTAAAAACGAGATTTAACTTTACGTTTTTTACTCTTTTTTTTTTTGCATTGCGATTCAAAATAGAAGGCATTTTTGCGATTTAAAAAAAATGAACTTTTCCAACACTTATTTCTTATTTTGCATAGAAACTTGACTTTTATCGGATTTTGTTGCGTGTTGTTTAACGTAACTCCAACGTCACAAGTGAATTCCAGGCGCTCGTTTCAGTTTTGAAGCGTGTTACGATCTTAATTTTAACCCTAAGTGGTCGTTTTGTTGCATTGCGATTCAAAATAGAAGGCATTTTTGCGATTTTTTTTTATGAACTTTTCCAACACTTTTTCATTATTTTGCATGGAAACTTGACTTTTATTGGATTTTGTTACGTGTTGTTTAACGTAACTGCAACGTCACAAGTGAATTCCAGGCGCTCGTTTCAGTTTTGAAGCGTGTTACGATCTTAATTTTAACCCTAAGTGGTCGTTTTGTTGATGTTAGACACATTTCATGCACTTTTTTTTTTTTTTTTTTAGTTAATTGCGAGTGGGAGCGTGAATTATCCGCGGGCCCGTTTTGGCCGTGACGCACTCGGCTCCATAACGTGATGCCGGTGTCCTCGCGCTGTCCCGGGCGCACACACGGGGCTATATTTAACCCTAAACCCGATTTCAGCGCGCAGACCCAGCCCCGAGCCGCGGATTTAAGCGACTCGTTACACAACCAGCGCCTAAGCTCCAGGGACGCCATTTTACGCACACACACATACGGTACATGAGCCTGTCGTTAATTTACGTGAAAATCTGAGGTGTGGGTCCATTTGCACTTTTGGATTTCAATTAAGAACGAAAAACACATGTTGGACTCATTTTGCAGCAGGAGCCAGTTTAATCCGTGTGTCGTTCGTTCGTTTTTTTTTTTTGTTTTTTTTTTAATTAAAAGAAAAATAAGAAAAGGAAAAAAGAAACTAAGATTTTCGTCAGTATTTGTCTCCAAAACGAAAAAAACAAAACAAAACAACAAAAACAAAACAAAAATAAAAACAGATGATGATTCGTTTTTTCAGTTTTTGATTGTGTGTTAAAATGAAAAATGGATAAAGGACCGAACCAGAACTAAACCAGGACCGAACCAGAACTAAACCAGGACCGAACCAGAACTGAACCAGGACTTGACCAGGACTAAAACAGGTCTGGGACCAGATTGGAACCAGAACGGGACTGAAACCAGGACCAGGACCAGTACTGAGACTAGAACTGAGACCAGGAACAGGACCGGGACTGAGATTGGGACTGAAACTGGGAACTGAGACCAGGACCAGACCAGGATGAGACCAAGGCTGAGACCGGGACTGAGACCAGGACTGAAGTTTAGTCCTGGTTTAGTCCTGGTTCAGTCCTGGTTCAGTCCTTGTTTAGTCCTGGTTTAGTCCTGGTTTAGTCCTGGTTCAGTCCTGGTTTAGTCCTGGTTTAGTCCTGGTTTAGTCCTGGTTGAGTCCTGGTTCAGTTCTGGTTCAGTTCTGGTTCAGTTCTGGTTCAGTTCTGGTTTAGTTCTGGGTCAGTTCTGGTTTAGTCCTGATTTAGTCCTGGTTTAGTCCTGGTTTAGTCCTGGTTGACTCCTGGTTCAGTTCTGGTTCAGTTCTGGTTTAGTCCTGGTTTAGTTCTGGGTCAGTTCTGGTTCAGTTCTGGTTTAGTCCTGGTTTAGTCCTGGTTTAGTCCTGGTTTAGTCCTGGTTTAGTCCTGGTTAGTCCTGGTTTAGTCCTGGTTTAGTCCTGGTTTAGTCCTGGTTTAGTCCTGGTTGAGTCCTGGTTTAGTCCTGGTTGAGTCCTGGTTCAGTTCTGGTTGAGTCCTGGTTTACTCCTGGTTTAATCTTGTTTTAGTCCTGGTTTTGGGGACAAATAATGAAGAAATTGTTTAGTTTTTTTGTTTTATTTTTTTATTTTTGGTTTTATTTTGAAAAACAATTAAACGACTCACACACAGATTCAGTTTCTCACTCTCTGGTATATATATATATATTTTTTTTTTAAGAAATCTCCAAAACCTCATCATTTATTCCCCCTCAGATCTCTAAAGGAACCGGACTGTAGATGTTTGACCTGCCGCAGTCTCGGGAGGGCATCTGACGCACACATATACAGAGATACAGTGAGGACGGGAGGGCATCTGACGCACACATATACAGAGATACAGTGAGGACGGGAGGGCATCTGACGCACACAGGGACACGGGAGAACAGGACGGCGTCTCAAAAGGCTTTTTATTCTGCATATTTGTCACCTCTAATCTTACATAATAATAATCCATAGTCAATGAAGTCTTGTTTCCAATGACAACAAACATTTCATTTTTTACACGTTTTTACTTACAACCTCCTGGAAACAACTGAAATATTGTTGTTTGACTATATTTTAGTTTTTTTTGTTTTAGTCCTGGTTCAGTCCTGGTTCAGTCTGGTTTTAGTCCTGGTATAGTCCTGGTTTAGTCCCATTTTAGTCCTGGTTTAGTCCTGTTTTAGTCCTGGTTTAGTCCTGTTTTAGTCCTGTTTTAGTCCTGTTTTAGTCCTGGTTCAGTCCTGTTTTAGTCTTGTTTTAGTCTTGTTTTAGTCCTGGTTTTAGTCCTGTTTTAGTCCTGGTTCAGTCCTGTTTTAGTCTTGTTTTAGTCTTGTTTTAGTCCTGGTTTAGTCCTGTTTTTGTCCTGGTTTAGTCCTGTTTTAGTCCTGGTTTAGTCCTGTTTTAGTCCTGTTTTAGTCCTTGTTTTAGTCCTGGTTTTGTCCTGGTTCAGCACTGGTTTAGTTCTGGTTTTAGTTCTGGTTTAGTCCTGGTTTAGTTCTGGTTCAGTCCTGTTTTAGTCTTGTTTTAGTCCTGGTTTAGTCCTGTTTTAGTCCTGGTTCAGTCCTGTTTTAGTCTTGTTTTAGTCCTGGTTTAGTCTTGTTTTAGTTTTCTTTTAGTCCTGGTTCATTCTGTTAAACACTGTTTTTCTTACGACCTCCTTTAAACAACTGAAATATTTTAGTTTGACTATATTTATATTTTTTATTTTAACTTGTACATTTGCATTTATATAATTGCATCTTATTTGTCACTAGTCTCTTGTTATTTTTCACTTTTTTTTTTTTTTTTTACCAACATGGAAAGATGACACAAAAAAAAAAGAAAAAGAAAAAAAAAAAGTAGGACATACGAGACAAAAACAACAATAATCGAAATATGGTGATATCGTATCGTCAAAGTTCTCACAATAATTTCATGAACCATCACAATATATCGAATTACAAGTGTTAAATGAAGTTAAATTAAGAGTTTTGGTGCAGCAATAACTAAAAAACACAGAGGGAACTACATAGACCATGATCCTTTGCTCCATTTCTGTGCAGACGACAAGAAGAAATAAAGTTCTAACACTTTTAAATCTTAGTTCTTTGGATTAAGTTTTGTAAAGTCATTTTAAGAGGAAAAAGAACAATATGAATAGTTTTAGTTGTTTAGTTGAACCAGGACTAAACCAGAACTGAACCAGGACTAAACCGGGACTAAAACAGGACTAAAACAGAACTAAAACAGGACTAAAACTGGACTAAAACTGGACTAAAACTGGACTAAAACTGGACTAAAACAGGTATAAACCGAGACTGAACTGGGACTGAACCGGGACTGAACCAAAGACTGAACCAGGACTAAATCATTTTCAGTCCTGGTCCTGGTCTCAGTCCTGCTCAGTCCTGTTTTAGTCCTGGTTTAGTCCTGGTTCAATCTGTTATCCATTTTTTCAATTTTTTATTTAAACCCAAAATCAAAAACTGAAAAAAAAAAAAGAAACAAATCTTTATCTGTTTTTTCATTTTGGTTTTGGAGACAAATAATGAAGAAAATCGTTGTTTTTTCATTTTCTTATTTTTGCTTTTATTTTGAAAAACAAACGAAACGAACGACACACGGACTGAGCAGAAAGACGACTCATCTTATGTTCTCTGCCTCCTCTTCCTTTTTCCAGAAAATCCGTTCACACTGAGAATTACTTAAAGCTCACAAGAGTCAATTTTGTGTCTTTAAATTTTGTGTAAAAGCATAAAAGCGTCTCTCTGAATGACTCACCGTTTTACTGCTCTGTCAAATCTGTCCAAAGTGAGAAAAGTTGTGTTTATCTTGTGTTTGTTTTTGTTTTCAGACATGAATTTAAAGAGGAAATCCCGAGTCCACAGAGCCCTGAGTGTGTGGGCCTGACAGAAGGAGCGTCTGCACTCCTCCCCCTCTCTCCCTCTCTCCTCTCACTCTCTCCTCCTCTCCGTCTCTCTCCTTCTCTCCTTTCTCTCGAGTCATGACGGACCGGGCGAGCATCAGCGCCCCCAAACCCGCCTCGCGCCCCGCCCAGACCCCCGTGCTGCCCCCGGACCCCATCGACATCATCCGGACCAAGGCCAAGTCGCGGCGGGTGCATCTGAACGTGGGCGGCCTGACTCACGAGGTCCTGTGGAGGACCCTGGACCGCCTGCCCCGGACCCGCCTGGGACGCCTCAGGGACTGTAACAACCACGAGTCGGTGCTGGAGATCTGCGACGACTACAACCTCACGCACAACGAGTACTTCTTCGACCGTCACCCCATGGCCTTCTCCTCCATCCTGAACTTCTACCGCACGGGCAAGCTGCACATGATGGAGGAGATGTGCGCCCTCTCCTTCGGCCAGGAGCTGGACTACTGGGGCATCGACGAGATCTACCTGGAGTCGTGCTGCCAGGCGCGGTACCACCAGAAGAAGGAGCAGATGAACGAGGAGCTGCGGCGGGAGGCGGAGACGCTGCGGGACCAGGACGTGCACGAGGAGGAGCAGGGCTGTTGCCCCGAGCAACGCCAGAAACTCTGGGACCTGCTGGAAAAACCCAGCTCCTCTGTGCCCGCCAAGGTACGAGTATACTGTATACTCTAGTACTTTACTATACTCTAGTAGTTTACTATACTCTAGTACTCTATTATACTCTAGTACTCTACTATACTCTAGTACTTTACTATACTCTAATACTCTATTATACTCTAGTACTCTACTATACTCTAGTACTCTAGTACTCTATACTCTAGTACTCTATTATACTCTAGTACTTTACTATACTCTAATACTCTATTATACTCTAGTACTCTACTATACTCTAGTACTCTATTATACTCTAGTACTTTACTATACTCTAATACTCTATTATACTCTAGTACTCTATTATACTGTAGTACTCTATTATACTCTAGTACTTTACTATACTCTAGTACTCTACTATACTGTAGTACTTTATTATACTCTAGTACTTTATTATACTGTAGTACTCTATTATACTGTTGTACTTTACTATACTGTAGTACTTTATTATACTGTAGTACTCTATTATACTGTAGTACTCTATTATACTGTAGTACTTTATTATACTGTAGTACTCTATTATACTCTAGTACTCTATTATACTGTAGTACTTTACTATACTCTAGTACTCTATTATACTCTAGTACTTTATTATACTGTAGAACTCTATTATACTCTAGTACTTTATTATACTCTAGTACTTTATTATACTCTAGTACTCTATTATACTCTAGTACTTTATTATACTCTAGTACTCTATTATACTCTAGTACTCTATTATACTCTAGTACTTTATTATACTCTAGTACTCTATTATACTGTAGTACTTTACTATACTCTAGTACTCTATTATACTCTAGTACTCTATTATACTGTAGTACTTTATTATACTGTAGTACTCTATTATACTGTAGTACTCTATTATACTGAAGTACTTTATTATACTATAGTACTTTACTATACTGTAGTACTTTACTATACTATAGTACTCTGTTATACTGTAGTACTTTATTATACAGTAGTACTTTATTATACTGCATCATAGTGTATATTGTAGTACTGCAATTTATAATACTGCACCAGGTTGTACACTGTAGTACTGTACTGTATTATACTACGCCAAGGTGTATACTGTAGTACTTTATTATACTCTAGTACTCTATTATACTCTAGTACTCTATTATACTCTAGTACTTTATTATACTGTAGTACTTTATTATACTGTAGTACTGTAGTACTTATTATACTGTAGTACTGTAGTACTTTATTATACTGTAGTACTTTATTATACTGTAGTACTTTACTATACTGTAGTATACTTTTATTATACTGTAGTACTTTACTATACTGTAGTACTTAGTACTTTATTATACTGTAGTACTGTAGTACTTTATTATACTGTAGTACTTTATTATACTGTAGTACTCTACTGTAGTATTATACTGTAGTACTTTATTATACTGTAGTACTTTATTATACTGTAGTACTCTATTATACTGTAGTACTCTATTATACTCTAGTACTTTATTATACTGTAGTACTTTACTATACTGTAGTACTTTACTATACTGTTGTACTTTACTATACTGTAGTACTTTATTATACTGTAGTACTTTACTATACTGTAGTATTTTACTATACTGTAGTACTTTATTATACTGTAGTACTTTACTATACTATAGTACTTTACTATACTGTATAACTTTACTATACTGTAGTACTTTACTGTACTATAGTACTCTGTTATACTGTAGTACTTTATTATACTGTAGTACTTTATTATACTGCATCATAGTGTATATTGTAGTACTGTAATTTATAATACTGCACCAGGTTGTACACTGTAGTACTGTACTGTATTATACTACGCCAAGGTGTATACTGTAGTACTTTATTATACTCTAGTACTCTATTATACTCTAGTACTTTACTATACTCTAGTACTCTATTATATTCTAGTACTTTATTATACTCTAGTACTTTATTATACTGTAGTACTTTATTATACTCTAGTACTCTATTATACTGTAGTACTTTATTATACTGTAGTACTGTACTGTATTATACTACGCCAAGGTGTATACTGTAGTACTTTATTATATTGCTCCAGGGTGTATATTGTAGTACTGTACTTTATTATACTGCACCAGGGTGTATACTGTGTACTTTAAACCTTTTATTCGGCCCGCCGAATTGGAATAAATTACAATAAAAACCCTTGTTGTTTTATTTTTCCGGCATTTCCGGCGTTTCCCAGTAGATGGCGCACTATATATACATTGATCTGCGATGTCTTCTGTTGGCCGCAATGCTTTATGGGAAAGTATTGACAGGAGTCATTTTCGGGCGGTGTATTCGGACCATGAGTGAGATAGAAGTTTTCAAGACATAAGACTGCACTGTTTCCAAAGTTGATGTAACAGCAGTCCACCTGGGAATCTCTGACAGTTTTTGTTAGAAAGTCCAACTAGTAGAACATTAGAATGGTACATGACTTGTTATGTGATATAACGCAAATTACGGCGAGCTAAACAATAAGACCGTAATCATGTGTAGTTTTTCGCATGTAATAATTGACATTGTCTTTCGCGATTGAGCACGTACGTCCGCTGTCTTTTTTGAAATATGCATCTGCGTCGTGATCTACCGCGAAGTGACTCATCGCTAAAACGCTATAGGATTAAAATATGTGTCCGTCCCTGTGTTCGGTCTATGCATAATGACCTGCATATTGTAATAATCTCTGAAAAGTTCCATGTCCGACACGATTAAAGCACAGAACAGACTCATTAGTACAAATATGCCTCTGTCACAGTAAGAACACGCATATTTCACTGAGTCGTGTCCTGTTAAAGTCCGACAGAAGCAGAATCGCGTAACCGCACAATAGCGATCTGTTTTTATTTTTTGAGCGCTTAGTTTATGTAATTTAGTCATGCGGTTTTAAGTTTTGTTTTTGTAAAACGGAAACACATATACGCAAAGCTGCAATAAACATTATTTCTCAATGTATACACTGAAAGAAAGGAAAGCCGAGTACAGGAAATGTGTGTAGTGCGGCGGTACGGAGGACCAATCACAGCCCTTATCGTCTGCGTCGCTTTCCCTGCTGTCTGCGTCGTTTCGTTAGAAAATTTCAGAGGTACAACGGCGGCAGTGCGCGTTGAGTCGACGCAGAACTATACTTCATCTTTTACGTGCTACGTGAGCGTAAATACAAGTGCAGTGGAGCCAGGATCCTAACACGTCATGGAGCGTGTTTATGGGTAAAGGTTCGGTTGGGCTTGTTAACATTTGGTTGGGTCTAGGCTCGTACAGTGATGTGTTGCAATCGCGCTTTTTGGTCGTTAGTGAGAATTCCAGTTTAGGTAGACTAAAGAAAGTATGACGACGGTTACAACTAGATTCCGCCCCAGAAAGTATTTCGGAAGTATTTGTCTTTTGGACGCATTCGCACTCAACTTTACATTCTTGTAACCGGGACAGTGCGTTTACATGCACCATGACTCAAAAACCCGATCGTAAGCGGGCTACTGATGGCCGTGTGTATGCATTGTATTGTAAACAATGCGCATCAGATTGAATATAACATGCTCGTGTACTGGCATGCTGGCACTGTTCCGTCCTTGCGTTGGTCGTTGTTGAGTTTTGAGGACGCACATTGAAATAAAGAGTCAGGAGGAAAGTGATGATGATAATATCCTGCAGGAAAACAGAACTTTCAGTGCTTTAAAATAGAAACTGTTAGTAATAATAATAAAACAAATAAGATATTTTATTAATTTAATTTTCAGTTTTTTAGAAAGACAGATATTTTGTCATAATTATTTGTAGCGACTTTCAATTGAAATTCAAGCTCAGGTTTTCTACATATCCCACGTTATTTTTTTCTCTCCACTCCATCCCTCTGCTCCTGTCCGGCCCTTCAGTCAAATTTTAGAATCTTTGTGGCCCCCGAGCCAAAAAGTTTGCCCACCCCTGCTGTATACTGTAGTACTTTATTATACTGTAGTAGTGTACTTTATTATACTACGCCAGGGTGTATACTGTAGTACTTTATTATACTGCACCAAGGTGTATACTGTAGTTATATGTGTAGTACACTGAGGTTTAGAGTACTTTATTGATACTTTGCAGCTGATGCCATCAACATTATGCTAACTGTAGGCACTGCTGTGTCTGAAGCTCTGTTACTTAAATCAGACTTTAATCTGAGTTTTATTTTAACACACTCTGACCAGAAAGATCTGACTTATCTGAAAATACAACAGACGAGCTGATCTGTGCTGTTAAACCAAACACGTCCCTCTCAAATAAGCCAATAGTTTTTCAGTGACTCACTCTCACATTTAGTGTAAAGTCAAACTCCTCAACAGAACCATGAACACTCACAGACTTCTGAAAACATGCTCTTTTATATTTTTCCCTGAGTCAGACTCAACACATGAATCTATGATGATGTTCAGCCGTCTCTCTTCGTGCTAAGGGCTGAACATTCTGCTGTACAGACAACATCTGTCTCCTGTTTACAACCTTCTGTTTACTCCGTCCTCAAACCTAAACCAAAACAAACAAAGTGATCACCAGGTCAGGTCCAAAGCTCCATTATGACCCTGAATGATTCTGATAATATGACCCCACAAAATAAAAATAATTCCAACTTGAACCCCCATTTAACTTTCAGATAGTTAAAATAAAACTTTTTTGTGTTAATAACTCATTTTAACTCTCCAGTTGTTGCTGTGTCCAATGAGTTTCTAGTTGTATTTTTGATTATTGTGTAGATAGAATATTTGACGCCTCCGCACTGATTTATACAGACATGTGGTGACACAACAGTGGGAAGAGAACCAGTAACCTTACAGTTAGTGGGTGAATGTGTGCATCATAACACTGTAGAAAGTCTGTGGTTTAACCTGAGCAGAGGCAGGTGAGAGTCTCAGGTGGAGTTTGCTGTGTAAGTGTCAGTTTACAGATTTTGTTGAGCTGGTTTATGGTTCATATTCTCGTGTTTATAAACCGAAAACTCGTCATTTTAAATGTAAATTCGTCTTTAG